ATTAATGTTACATTGAGCAACAGCGCCGGTTATTTTATTTGTTAAGCGACAAGCGTTTAAATACTTGCAAAATAATATGGCGTATAATTGTTTTTTTCGCGTATAAATCGAAAACAGTGCAGGACGAAATAAATGTAAAATACAAAATTCTAAATTAAATGAGGAATTAAAAATATCTCTTTACTTCTGTGATCCACTTCAAAAAAGTTCGAGAAAGTAAGTGGGCGTGGCTCCTAAAAAATTTACTTTAAACAATAATTTCTTCTATTAAACGATGTAAACCACATGGCGGAAACTGTGTTCCAAATTTCGAGACATTTGAACGAAAAAACTAAATAAAAATTGTATTTTCCACACCCTGTATCTGGAAAATAAATCTTCATAGTTTCATAGTTTATACAAGCGTTTCTTCGTTATCTTGTGAGTCTTATCACTGGTTTCATTCTATCAGTTTTTTTTATTTCACAAATTGCATCATCCTGTATGTCTGAAACTACTCGAAATACACAACTGAACGTTGGTACACTTTTACCAATAATTTTGCCAGTTCACAAGCGTGAAGTCACATTTTGTTTAGCACAGATGAATATTAAACGATATATTTTGCCCCCAACTTCGACACCACTAGCAAAAATGGCTATTTGGAAGCACGTTTCAAAGACTATTGTATTCTACTCAAAAAAGGTGCTCCTAGTCAAAAGCTCAAACGTCAGCCTTTTTATAAAAAAGCATGAGTAGAAGCAAAATAATCCTATTCAGACCATAAATCTACGCCACTGGAACGAAAAATTGTGAAACAAATGTTGGTAAAAAAGCGTTACGATGTGTCTCAAAAAGGGTTCTACTATTTTTAAACCCGTTTTGATCACAGTGTAAAACCGGCAGAAGCTGCGACTGAGCTACAATCAAGCATAAATACATATATCAAGCGCCATTGAAAACTGATAAACTTTGTAATTTAACGCACTAAAACCCAATAACAAAGGTCGAAAGTTCACGAATCTATTGCTGTTCACATGGCTTGGATTTATGTGCATTTGATATTGCTTATGGGTAAACCCATCATTGAGAGTGATTCTAAATCGTCCAGTAATTGTTAAATTATGCACACAACGATTTAGAAAGGCTGAAAGTAATGTATTTCCTTCAAGGAATTCGGTCTATTCGCGTTTAGATCACAACGTACAAATTTAAATAACGTATTAGGCATATAAAACAATGTGAACAACGATTAAATTTTGGTTTAACATGAAAATCACTGGACTTTATACTTCATACGAAGCCAAGCTTTAAATGCAAAAATACACGGTCTTAAATTTGCCTAGTAACTGAGCCACTTGATGGCAATGATGCATGACTATTTAACTTGAAATTAGCACAATTCCCAAATGAACGCTTGAATTTCTGTAGTTGCAAAAATCTAATAGAATCTGTTGAACTGAACTTACTAAACAGATTTCCACAATAAAGCGATTAAAGACTTTTCAGATAACTGTGAAAGCCAGGAGTTTATCTAAACAGTGTGAGGGCTTGCAAGCTATTTGCTTGATCGCCGAGAAAACAACTAAGGATGCTTTGAAGCATGACTGATGCTACTTATTTAACTTATGGAATGTTGTTTAAAGCAGTGCAGATATTTCTTACCATTGAATTGGGTTTCCCATTCCCTCACTGAATCCATTTCCAAAGTACTCAGATCGCTCAGGTCATCATACTGGTCTCCTCCTGCGGTCACATTGAAAGTGGCCAAACCTCTGGATGCATCACGTCCAGCAAAAGCTGCATAGGGCCCCCCTGAAATAAATAGTGCACATATTTAGAAGCTAATCTCATTTTAAACGTATACATGTGTTGATGCAATGTAGTTTTGAGAAACATCGCACTTAGATTGAAGTTTGCTAGATAACGATTAGACACTGTAGCGATTATGAGCGTTTATAGGAAACTTACCAGGTCCATAGAATCGCTTGCCCTTTGTAACATCATAAACTCTGCCATTAACTGCCATTAGGACTCGACCATCTTCTTGGGTCCCATCGTAGTTCTTCAGTTCAGCGACAGTGAAGTCTTTTTTCTTCATTTTGGGAATCGGTTTCTCTTCGGGCTCGGTTCGCTGTTCATCCTGGCGGCTTTTGATGATCCGGTAGACGAGAAAAGCGATCAGACTGAGCAGAACAATGTTTAAGGGGCTCTGGAAGACCTCTGTAGCTATTGTGCTTAAAAAACTTGGGGGCTCCACGACTTTTTCGGTATCCATTATGTGACTTGTTGATTATACACTGACTGCGAACTTAGAGGCGGCTTCAAAACACGGCGTTCTATATAAATAATTAAAATATCATTACGATGACGATTACTCGGTGATGGATGCACAATATGTTGACATTTGTGACCTGTAGAAGCGGTACTATTCTCGTAGATGGTGGTGATGACTAGATAAAGTTTCCTACTATTTGCTGGATGGTTTTGTTCAATCCACCTTAACTTGAGCCGGCAATAACTATCTCACTTCGACGCATATATTTAAGAAACGATCTATTGCCGTTTAGATCGAACAACGCGTTGTCAAAATCCACCAATGGGAACGCTTGCAGATGTTTCCAGTGGTTTGCACCGAAAGAAGAAGATTTTGTTAGGTTAGTACATTGTTTTTGGTTTTGGAATTGGTAATGTGTTTATTTTAATTTACAAAATCAACCAAGTTATTTAAGATACTTCCAACTTATGTAGCCGCATTTTTAGCTCCTGGTGTAAAGTAACTAATAACAAGTGGAGTTGTGTTAGGGGGTTGGGTACAGTTCTGCATTGGGCTCTAACATGGCTCCCAAAACAGCAATTTGCAGAATTTGTGTTCAAGAAACCGACAACAATGATTTACAAGATTTGGACTGGAAAAACATTGACCCTTTTTTAGCCAACAACTATTTACAGCGTCCAGTAAGTAACAGCTTATTGGTTATTCAGCAACAGTCACTGTTGTGGTACTGTTCAAAGAAACTGCCAAATTAACACTAAAACGCAGTTACCTGCGCCCCATTTTTACAATGTTTATTAGGCTGGTTATTTATGTTAAATGCCCAGTTAGATCTGGACGTATTAATATCATAAAGCCGGCTTGCCAATGCTAATTAGGGCTGAGTCTGAATGCTTGTGGAAGCATATTTCTAGTCCTCATAATTACACAAATTGGGAATGGATGAAATTAGCAAGCGCAAGCTAAAATTAGTAGCAAATATTGCATAAGAAATTGGAGACTATTATAATGTGTACTTATAGGAATTAAAGTGAGAGTCAATTAGTTGTTTGTGCTACTTTAGACCTTAAGTTATTCTTATATCATTCCTCAACTGGCATCAAATTTCCCTGAAAAACCAAAAACCTCAAAAATAAATACGTAAATATCAAGCATAGAGATGGTCTAGCAACGAAATTATGTAGCTAAAATTTCGTATGTTTCCCGTATTTATCACATAGCGAAATTCCGAAAATAGTCATTACTATTTGTGTTAATAATACATTTTAAGTGATCAAACAACGTCTAAATCTATTTCATACTAAAAGCCTTCATAATTAGTCAATGGGGTATGAGAAGAAATGTTAGATTATTGTCTCCCAAAATGAATTCACTCGAGATTAATAGCTATTTTCTTTAATATCTGTGTACTTTATTATTTGTATTTTTTCAGCTGGACCTGTACAAAGGACATGTAATCTGCTGTTCTTGTATAGATAATTTCAACACTATCTCAAAACTGCATAGACTCGTTGCAAAAAGCAATAGTGTATTGACCAGACTCAAAGCGAGTCAGCTAGACGAATCTGCCAGTAATTCAGAAATAAATTTGAAAGAAATTTTGGCTTCTGATGTAGGAGACGATATGGCCATATGCAGAGTGTGCTTGGACACAACGAAGCACGTTGCAATCAGACTATTTGACAGTGCCACTAATATAGTTCCTCCAGACTACTTAAAGTCTATGTTTAGCGAAATGAATATTAACTTGGTGAGTAATTAAGAAAATTCAACTGAGAGCGAGTAATTAAGTTGTACATTGCAGTTGTTAATAGATCAGACAAAAACGCCAATTATTTGCTACCAATGTTGGCAGAGACTCCAAATTTCCTATAGTTTTCATAAACATTTGGGCGTAGCAATCAGTAAGTTACGATATTATCAACGAATCTCCCAAAACATGTACTTGAGTCAGATGGATTTGGACGATATTTTATACATGTGGGACAAATTAGATGAGCCAGGTATTTATACATTAGGTTCACTAAAGTACCCGCGATCCGCATAAAAGATTTTCCTGAGCTGACGAGAAAAATTGGCCAACCAATTATTTCATAAATTAAGTACGAAATAAGGAATACATATATACTTACATTTCAAAATATATAAACATATTTTGAAGGCAGTAATATTTTTGCTTTGTTTCCCTGCCCTCTGCGCTAATCTTACATCTAAGTTCAAAGTATTTCTTATGAAGGGTTCAAATAAATTATTATAGATGCATCTGCAATTGAAACTGATGAGCTTATGCTGGACGAACAATTGAATGTAACTGGTTCGTCGCTTCTAGATCATGACTATTGCAATAACCATTCTGTTGACAATGAGATATTCGTTAATGAGGAAATTGTTGGTACCAATACCGATCAGATAAGTGATATGCCTGTGCTACAACCGAATTCACACGATAGTATGGATTCGTTGAAAACTGACTCCTCCAAGAGATCGTTGCTAAACAAAATTGTGATCAAAGAGAATAGAACAGTATCTGTTAAGAAGATTAACCAAAAAAAGAACAAGAACAGAATTCGTGTGTCCGATTCCATTGCTAACCGCACAACAAATAGACGAGAATCGAATCCTGTCATTTTAAGATCGGCACTGTTGAGTAAAACAGTGCCGAATATTCCAATATTACAACCAGCTGAAAATTCAGATATGCATAAGAGATATAATCTGAGGTCCTCAAGAAGCATCAACTTTAAGGAAGAGGATATACTCGATGAAGATTTATTAGTTTTAAGAAAACAGGTAGTAATCAAAGCTAAACCAGCTCAGACGAAAATGCCTTCATTGAACAATATGGATGCTCTTCCTCCAATTCTTCAAAATCAAAGCATTATCGAACGTCCAACAAATGGCTACCATTCAAATGACTACACATTTGAGAGGCTAAACTTTGATAGTTATGTTCTAATGGATAAAAATAGAGTACCTGAACAGGAAATCCAAATTAAGGCAGAAGTGTTGAGTGATTCGGATGATGATTTTGTTGAAGAAACACCAGGTATATTCACCGAAACTGAGCAACCCAATGGCAATGGGGATGGTAGGTTGTATATCAAGTTGTCTTTGTGGTGTACTACGTGTTGAATGCTCTTACAGGTGTGTGTCCAAGTTTGGTCGGCTTCGTTAAGACTGAATCTGAGGAACTGATCGATGTTACTGGAATTGAAGAGCAGCCACCAGAGCTTGAGTTCCAAGGACCTTGCTCGAACATGCCTAATTTGACTATTTTAAATGCGTATACGTCAGTTGAAGAGAAACGAAGAACTATTGAGTCTTTTGATGAGACTCAATTGAACGACACCGAAGTCTTCAGTAATGGAGCTGTGGAGAAGCAAAATGTTGGTTTATATTTAATTTTTTTTGGTTTGTTACTACTATGTGGTGTATATTTTAGGCAAATGAACATGTGAACCAGGTGGTCCCTGATCCAACTTATAGTAATTGTGATATTGAGGATATGCCTCAGTTGGATTCAAATTGCGATCCGCTACGTTTAGATGTCACGAAAAAAACTCGTAAGTCACATGCGAAAAAGGGCAGAGCGAAATCGATGCGTTCAAGTGTTTTACAAGATGCGGATCAAAATGACGACATGTATGATTATGTTAAGCCAAAAACGTAAGCTAAACTAAGCAAATACCTTTAGAATAGAAGAAAAAATATTTCGGAAATGAAATGGTTTGGTTTTAATGGCTGAGTAGCATTTCAGTTGTATTGCCTTGCCTTTACATTACCTTTCTACTAATTGTTTTACTTGTTCAAGTCATCTCAAGTAAACGTTTTCATTCTTTCTTCAGCTTGACCCTCATTTATTTGAAAAGTACAAAAATGTTTATATTAATTAATATACATTTTCAGAAGAAATAAACCGAAGGCTGTCTTGCCGTATCTTCCTTATGCATGTACTAAGTGCGATTATCTTTCCAATACAAAACGGGCGATGACATTCCATGATGATGTGCATAATGCGAGCAAGGCCAAAATACTGGTTTGTGAGTTCTGCTCATTTATCGCAATCAACAAAGATACCTTCAGACGACATAGGAGAAACCATCTAGAAAATAAAGGTGAGATAATTTTACTACAACTACAGTGTAAACTCATATTTTAATACTTTCTTTTATATTTGTAGATCATGATTATTGTTACGAATGCAAGTTACATACGCCCACCATATATTGCTTGAAATGTTCCAAAGATTTTCATCCGCAGTGTCTATTGGCACATCAGACCAAAAGTAAAGAATGTATTCACTTTAATATTGAGGGTGTCTTAACAATATGCAAGCGGGAAATTGCTACACTTGCCCCACGTAAGTAGTTTTTTTATGGCGCAGCTCATCTGTTTAAATACGTTGTTATTATTTATATTTTTTTCCAGCCGACTCTTCTGGTGGTAATCTATCATGCACTTATTGCAAGAAGATGGCTTCAAAGTCGTTTATTAATTGCCAACTTTGTGTAAAACAGTTCCATTATGAATGTTTCTTTGCTAGAGATAAAAAATGTTTGAACGTCTGTATGCATTTAGTCCGACTATTAAGGCGCATGTATATTAAAAGTAAGTACGCTAAACTTGCATTGGTGGTGGCTTATTCAAGAAAGTTTTGAAATCCCATAAAATTATACATCTTTAAGTGAGTGTACATTTGGACGGGATTTGTATCAAATTGATTCATTCTCAATTTTTTCGTTGATTTAGGTGAAGGTTCAAAGGTAAGATGTACATTTTGTGAGCGAATTCTGGAATACGTTACACCGTGCCTGTCCTGCCAATGCGTTATGCACTATTCCTGCTACAGTAAGCATGCAGAACTCGTCACCTCCAACTGCAACCATGCTCATATTATACATGGTTTACCATTAGGTAAGGTATAAAATGTGTAATCGTTTTTACATAAATGAAATACGATTATTGAAATGTTTGAAAAATGCTGGCACGTTTTGATACTAGACAGAAACCTCTAGTTTCACGTGCGAATAAACTATTTAAAAATTGTTCACTATAAGTGCAATAAAAATATTCTTGAGGTGTTTCAGGTGTTATGAAAATACTTACATTAACTAAAAAACTGTTACCTTTCAGATTTTCAATACCTGTCTCCGCCCCAGTTGACGTCATCATCATCCTACAGTACGAAACTTTCTAAAATATCTGAGTTTAAGGAACAGTTTTATATAAAAGGGTTACAATAATATTTGTTTTCACATGTTTATAAGTAAATTTAGTATTATGTTTTTCAACGATTTCATTTACTCTATGAATTATATAAAAAAAAACACCTTAAAAACACCGTTCATTTAATTTTTATCAAACGATCTTTGAATGAAAAAGTATCTAGATTATTAATAACGAAAGCTCTTTATGAGTTATGTACAAACGCAAAAGGTTTATTATAATGTTTTTAGATTATTACTTGTTCGCTTATTTCCCTGGATGGGGCTGAAAGATGCCCAACGACTCTATGGAAAAAAAAATGATTTACAGATTCAATATTTCAACACAAAAATGATCGTCATAAAAAAATTAGCAAACTTAATCACTTGCTTGTTTCACCAGAGATTAACAGATAACTCTAACTACTAATCTACTACACCATAGATTAACTAAGTATTACACCCAGCTTGACAAGGAAAACCGTCCGTAAAACATCTTCTATCTCGAGTTGAAGGTGTCACATCCGAAGGTGAAAAGAGGAATTGAAAGTCCCCTAACCTTAATTTAAAAACATTTTTCGATTGCAAATGTAAAACAATATCACAACAATATCTTACTCTCAACTCAGCCGCGGTTAGTATACTGTCCCCTGGCAATTATTCACTTGAATTAACTTGTATTGAATTTCAGATGATTCTTCTATGGGGCCCCACTACAGCACTTCGCCTTTATAGAAACCGATTTAATAACGTTTTCTCGCTTGTCTCTCTCTATTCGGCTAGAAGATACAGTAAAAATACTCTAACTCCTTCAGGAAGTTCACAAAAGTTTCAAGTAGACACAAATGTGAAACCTTTGTCCGAAAAGGTTAAGGAAACTACCAAGACAACTTCATATTTTGCTATAATATTAGTTGGTCTTGGAATAACTGGAGGATTAGTTTACACTGTTTTTAATGAGTTATTTTCCGGTAAAAGTCCTAATAATATTTATTCGAAGGCAGCCACGAGGTGTATTGAGTTCCCACAGGTCTCAGACAAATTGGGGTATCCAATAAGTGCCTTTGGGGAAGAAACAAGACGAGGTTTGTCCTGATTATCCACCTAATCGAAATGATTATTTTATATTCACTTTTCAGGTAGGAGACAACATGTAAGTCATGGCTTTTACCTGGACAAAGAGGGTCATAAACATATTAGAATGAAATTTCACTTAAAAGGCACTGCACACTCTGGTACTGCCCACTTAGATATGGTAGAGGTGAGCTGATATTGTTTTTGAGTGTGTTATCCTGTAATTGAGTAATTTGCCTCAGCGTTTAAGCTGGTTATAAAAGTAGTTTTGTCACTTTCTTAGCTTTGGCCTTTTGAACAACTATAAATATGGCAAAATTTTCAAAAACCATCTTTGACACGATGTAACTTATCATAATAGGTTGTTTAAATAATTCCAGACCGACTCAGGAAACTATGAGTACCGATTCCTATTCGTGGAAGTGGACGATATGTTTAAAACTGTTATTGTAATCGAAGACAACCGGAATAAGATGCGTTCTAGCATCCAATCTTCCGACTTTGACCTGCAGCTTTAAATAAATGAAACTGTTTTTCTAGGAATTACTTATTTATTTTCTATCCTTGTAAAAAAGAACCAAATTGTTCATAAATATGTAACTTTCTATTTTAGATACTAGCCACGCTGTTATGATGTAAATAGCTATATATTGGATCCATGCAAATTTGCATACCTGCCATAGGTTTGGCGTGTAATATATTTTGTGTTTGGGATATTTGAGATTTAGATTAAGTCCAAAAGATGTGGCTTTGACTGAACCATACGTTGTTATCGGATTTGTGAGGGTAGTTTTTACTAAAATAAAGAATCAAATGAAAGCAATTCTAGCTGAGGTGTTTCGTTGAAGGCCAGATTAATATAGGTATCTTATTGATATTTCAATGGAAGAGCAACTTACTTTTCTTGGATGCGTAATTTCCAACAAAATTATCGAACATATAATCTTCAGAATTATGGGCATTGCCAGTAGGAAGATTCATATTGGCTGATCCATTTTTTGAGCATTTTATTGACTCTGATTGTTGCAATCCCAGATCAGCATACAAAGATAACTGGAAGACGTTCCTTAAATTCGTCTCTTGATAAATCACCGCACTTTCCATTTGAAAGTAACATGGTTCCTACAGCGAAATTGGTGGTTTAACTACAGTTTCACTCGGGCGTCAAATGGACTTGCCTGTAAAGTATAGTTTAACAGAAGAACGATGTTAATGGCATCAATGGGCATTTTTTCCGGAAGATCAATGGTGGTTTGAAACTGCAGTGCATCCACCTGATTGTCCAGATTCGCATCAATCTCCCGGATCTAATAATTGTGAAGTGAAATAAAACATTCAAAAATCGCCATCCGAACAAACCTTTACGGTGGAACAGGCGTCTAAAGTGCCGAGATATTTTTTATAATAAGGAAATGAACTGCAAACAATTGGTTTCTGGTTTTGGGCCGACATCGCTAGTAAGAGAAAGTCTCCATTGAAGCGTACGTTGGGCTGTAGATGGAGACTGTTGTGTTTTTGCCATAAACCTGGAAGATCATTATCGTATAATAAAAAATAATTATTTGTTTTATTTACAAGCATTTTTGTCTCTTTTTGATCTTGATGACCAGCTATTAAATATCTTACTGTGTATTACAATAGAAACCGACTTTTTATGAGAAACGGTTTATTTTATCGAGAACCTTATGGCAATATTTAGTAACAAAAAAAATTTTTTTTCTTAAAAATTCGTCTATAAGGCAAATTCCTACCTGTTAAGAAGCAATTTGGGGAATATTCATAAGAACGTTTTTATTGAGCTCTAATGAATGGGTAAGAATTTCAAACAGGAATAAAATACTGAGATAAATTCGCACTTACCCCCGGAGTAATAGCTTAAGACAAACGGCAAAGAAATGGTGATTATATCACACACTAGCGTTATAAAAGTGGCTTTAGATAATAAGAACGCCTTATATTTAACGCTGATCGTTTCTTTAAAAACTTCTAACATAACCATTGTACACACAGTGTCTAGTGAGCAAATTTATTATTTTTAAGAACTGACACTAGGCTTGTTTGTATTGTTCTTTGTAACCACAGCAATTCTTATGTATAGAATGCAGTTGCCCCTCCAGAAACAAAACAACAGTTGAATAGTGAACAACGCCTACTTTATAAGCTTCTCCCATCGTTGACGATTCAGGTGAGGAAATTTGGAAATGGAGGAATGGAACTAACAGAAACTCAATAAAAACAATTAATAACAAGTAAATTTATAGTCCGATGTTATAAAAAAGTACAATTGTAAGCAAAATAAACGTTTTGCCATTAATCACATACCAGACATAAATACAAAAAACATATTGCAGACTTCTACAATAACAAGAATAAAAACCCGCACTTATTTTGTTTGAGTATTTTTTTTTCCGGTCCAATTAAAGATGCAAAGCATAGATAAAGACGATGCAAAGGTGATCGAAATATAGGTTAAATCTGACCAAACAATGTCAAATGACAAACGACTGCGGCTACGGAGCGGCTTTATTTAGTTTATCCATTTCTGGTAGGCAATCAGTTATACACTAACGTTTGTAGGTGCAGGCGTTTGAGCTTATCTGAGCCCTTCAATTACCTATATATTACACTAATGTTACAAAAATGAACAATTTAATGACTAATTTTTAACAATAGTTGTGACCTAATGCAATGAACATTATGATCAGCTGTAAGCTTAAAACTGCTTATTCTCAGTCATGCCAATTTGTCTTTCATGCTATGAACACTTGATAGAACTAAATTTTCATTAATAATATCTACCCGAAAGTAAAAATATTTATTTTTAAAGTTTAGTTAATGGATTGTTCCAAGATGTAACTGCCACACAGAAAAATTGGAAAACCGAAAAGCGCTCTCATTTTTTGGCGGTCTTCACTAATTTTACTTCAGAAGAATAATCTTTTCCGCTTGTTTGATGCGCTTCAAGCACTGTGAACCGAAATAACTGCAAAAATATTAAACAATTTTACTTGGAATAGTGAGTCTCAAGTGAAAGCAAAGATCTCACATAATCAAAATATAGCACTATACGAAGAAACTTTTTTCTTCGAAAGAAAATAAAATAAATATAAAATTATTGAAGTCGTTTATTGTTTTATTATTGTTAAAGCTTGGTATTGTTTACTGATATTATAACTCACTGATGAAATGGGGTACTTTGTTATAACTATAACTTTTCTAACGCTTTTTTTGAAACGATGTTTTACAAAATGAACAGTTTCATATTAAGAAAAACTTAAACAAAGTTCTTAAATGTAAAATAAAAAACTGACTTATTCAAGTGTTACCATAAAAAAAAATACGATTAAGATTAAATTAAATCAGAAACAAAAAACTTAAATTCTACAAAGTTCAATTTAAATCAAATTTTTAAATCTATCTTAATAATAAGAAAATAATATTTGCGAATAGAACTCAAAATATGTATTATATGTATTTCGCGCGGTTGTAAAAATATCAATTTTAGCAAAATGGGAGAATTGGAAAGTTTTATATAATTTAAAATATAATATAAAATACCACCTAATAACCGAACGAAAATTGAATTTCGTGGTTGCACCATCCAATTGCTTTCTACAGTTAATGAAACGCCATGCCGCCTTCATGGTTTAATATTTTGCGCAAGAAAATCAAACGAATCTTTTCAGATCAAAGTGTTTGATGCAGTTGATCGTAAGGAAATCACGTGAGAAACGCAACTTTGCTTTGTAAAATCACCGATTTTCTTTGTTAAATAATTTTCGCCCGATTAATTTAATTATCAATTAATGCAGTGCTCTTGAATAGCTTTTCATCCAGTTGGGTATGTAGGCAATTGTTTTTCCTGTTTTTTCCGGACTAAATTTCCCCAAAGGAAAATCGATAGGGATTGAGGGTGCGCAAAATACTCAAATATTGCTGTTTGTTACAGGTTAAACTGATCGTGTTTTGTTTTTCCTGTAAAAGCAATTATTTCGCTATTTTTCCTTATATATTGCTTCATTTGCCTGGTGAGTTTTCGTAAGTAGGTCTTTTAATCAATATTGTCTTGCAGTACAAGCGGTCGGTCTTTTGTAAGATAAAATCAGCTTTTGCACTTAAAACATAGAAAAATTAATTTTATTAAAATATGTTGGCTTTATTGGCGCTATTGTAGACACAAAATAGTTACGGGGGCTTGGCAGGTCGTTAAGAGGATTATTTTAGATATTTTTTCTATAGACGTTTTAATGGATTTATTGATGATACGCCCGATTTGAAAAAATATACTGTACTTTTATACAATGTATAAAATGTTTGACGGTAAGGAAAAATAACTTCGATATTTGTTCCCCAGCAATAATCACTTAAGGCCAATTTTTACATTCACGGGCAAAATCTAATATTAAATAAACGCAAAATCTGTTTTTTTCAAAGGCAATAAAATCTAACAACTTTTTAAGCACCAAATACAACCGGCTACTAAAACATCGCTCTTTTCCTTTATGTTACAACACTTAAAAAATCTCCCGAAAATAGAAAGGTGAACGGGAATATTCGAGATTTATTTTGCGTGAATTTCCAAATTTAATTTTAAATAAAAGCAAATAAATGTATAATTTTTGACTATAAACAAACAAAACAAAAATTTACGTTTTCTTGCTCACCCTTTTACCCATAAATATCACTGATGGAAAATAACTGAAAGTCACTGAAAAAAAAATAATTAGTTAAGCCAATTCATTTTCCGATGTCGAGTTATTTACAGAGTCTATCAGCATTAAGGTCTAAACGTTAAATAAGCCATCAATCGAAAAAACCATTCAAAAGTTTTTCTAAAGTTGCGTCTTCACTGAGTTTTCAACGGGAAAAAACGTCTTCACTGGGTTTTCAGAAAAAATTGAGGAAGAACTTTCTAGAACTAGAACTTTCAGTTTTCATCCAGAATCAACGAACAGTTTCAGTTGAACACTTTCTGGACGAAAGCATTTTGAATGTACAAATTGCCCGGATTTTCGAAATTAAGGCCCCTAGTCCAATTCTATCAAAGTAACTTTTCTTATTGTTCCAGTAACGAATAAGAACAATGAAGTATTTCGGAATAATGTTGTTAGTATTGGTTTGCTGTTGTTTTGTCGGAACTCATGCAATCAACACATTGGAAAACGAAATCGCCCATTCAGATGCCAAAAGCCATCCGAATCCCAAATTACCAGCTAGTGAAATGCCTCGTAAGTTTTAACAGTTAATTTATATTTAGTTTCTTCTAAAATATTTCACATTGTGTTGTTTGCTTATTTATGTTCGTAGTTGCTTTCGAGTGCATAAACATTGTGACAAAGTTAAATGCTGCATTGTTAGTTATTCCTATTCTAGTCTAAGTGCGCAAATTTCCTTTTCCCGATTTTAACGGCAGCAACAATTTTCTTCCAGATGAAAAAATTAATGTGATTGTATTTATTCAAAGCGCTGGTTGGCTTCATTGATAACTAATTTAAAAAATAAACATTAACAAATGGTAAATTGATTAAATATATCTTCTTTCTTGTTACCCGATTCGATTGCGTCGTTATTTATTCCCCTTTTAAGTGTTTGCACTCATTTTAAAGATTAAAAACGATACTTTTCAACAAACAACTTTTGCTTAGTTTACTGCAAGTTATCTTATATTATCAGTAATTAACTTTTCAATAGTCGGATTTTCGGTCAACGTATGTTGGCAAAATAAAACACTACTTTTTCATGGGCCAAGGTTTCGACGTTACTTAAGTCATCCTCAGGGCTCTAAAATGGAAAACAGAGGGGTTTTCAGCCTAGAGCCTGGTGGAGTTTCAACACTTAGTGTGTGATATTGTTATACAATACAAAGAAAAAAAAAACTTAAAACTCAACTTACAACTATTTACACGACATTAAAACACGACATTAAAACACGACCATCAGACTATCCAGTTAAAATACTAAAAAATTACATTAAAATGCACATTGGTTTAAATAAGTCAATCATGGTCAGTCCCGTCTCAAGAGAGTTTAAAATTACATAAAATAAAACGATCAGGGAGTCAAAACTATAAAACACACTCAAAACAATAATCTCATGTCAATAAGATTTAAATTAAAAAATAATGAAAAGCAGTGAACAAAGGACGAAACTAATAATTTCAAGTCTTGAAAAGCGCAAAACAGCGATTGGTGATACAAAGAGCAAAAGTAAGTTTCGGAAAAGACGCAATCATGAAGATACGTTCATTATGTAATTACTCACCTATTGGCAATATATGGCACTGACTTCATAGGTGAGTGATTACATAATGAACGTATCTTCATGACTGCGTCTCTTCCGAAACTTACTTTTGCTCTTTGTATCACCAATCGCTGTTTTGCGCTTTTTTAGACTTGAAATTTTTTACCAACTTATTTTCGTTCTTTGTTCACTGCTTTTTATTCTTTTTTAATTTAAATCTTATTGACATGAGATTATTGTTTTGAGTGTGTTTTATAGTTTTGACCACCTGATCGTTTTATTTTATGTAATTTTAAACTCTCTTGAGACGGGACTGACCATGATTGACTTATTTAAACCAATGTGAATTTTAATGTATTTTTATAGTATTTCAACTGCATAGTCTGATGGTCGTGTTCTAATTTTTAATCTGTTATAAAGTCGAGTTTTGTTTTTTTTTTAATTTTTAAGTTTGTATTGTATAACAATATCACACACTAAGTGTTGAAACTCCACCAGGCTCTAGGCTAAAAACCCCTCTGTTTTCCGTTTTAGAGCCCTGAGGATGACTTGAATAAAGTCGAAACGTTGGCCCATAGAAAAGTAGTGTTTTATTTTGCCACCATCCGTTGACCGAAAATCCCACTATTGAAAAATTAATTACTGATTATCATCACGGTCCTTAATCAACAACAACATATTTTATATTATGTATACTTTATATTTTAATAATTCTATACAAAATGATCGCTAATATGATTTTTTAAATTAATTTCAGTGGAAGTCGATATACTGAAACTACTTAATGTGTCCCATAAAGACCAAGGCGTTTCCTTTGTGGAAGGTCCAATCAAGAAATTTCCCGCATACAAATTTCGCTTTTCCCCATATGGACATGTTCCTTTGGCTAAGTCCAATATTGTCAGCGAAGCTATGAATAATAGCAGAGGATTTACCGTCGTCTTTTTATATCGGTAATTAAGAACAAAGTACTGTAAATGTATAAAAAAGAATTGCTTGAAGTTGAACCATAAACCAAACATGAATCAACATTTTTAGGAACTTCAAATGGAAAGTTGACGTATTTTTTAGATCAATTTGTTACTTTGCAAAACATGTTTTGAATGTTTTTAGTTTGGATATTTTGACTCTTTATTGCAATAAATTAACTGAAAAATGTGTTCATCAGATCAAAATCAGAAAAACGGCAACGAATCCAAACACACGAGCGAATGAGAAAGAATCATTGAGGTCTAATCTTACTTATAATTCCGAGAAAAATTTCCAATAAACCGTCAACATTTTTTCTTTTGCTGTGTAAGTGGAATCTTTTTTGGATCAGACTAATACGACAGAAAACCGTATAAAACCATTCTAGTAAATCATAAAATTAAATGCAGTTTTTCCTTATTCATTCACACAAATGGATTCGAACGTTAGTATCTACATTTGCCTTCGCAGTTATTTAATATTTGAAAAATCAATTGAGTTAATTTCAAATAAAGATTTCGTTCGATCACTTTTTGAATGGTTTAAGAATTTAAAGGTTTTTCTCGATTAATTACTTTGATTTCGTTTTTCAAACAGCAACTTTTCTGCGCTTAGGATCATTCATTAATCAATATTTAAAATGATAAAATCTTTCCTCACTGATTCATGCGATTTGAGATCGACCTCGATTAATTAAGTGTGCATTTTTAGGCAGGTTCGAAACAATTTGGGCACTTTGTTATCCCTCCATTCCCCGGGCCGACTAACGCCGTGGTTTCAGTTGACTTCAAATTCCAGAACGGGGATTTTAACCGTGAAATATCGACTGCGGAAATCGAACAAATTAATCCAAATTGATTGGGAATTGCCCAAACACTACAGGAAATCGCCCTTGGCTGGTAAGTTCCGAAACTGTCTCAATAAACCATTTGTTAATTGAATGAAAGCGAATTTTAAAATGTATCAAAAACGATTGTAGCTTGGCTGTGGCTTTCACTATCCATGGACTTTCAAGAGGACTTAATTCGTCTGGATTTGGACTGCGTTCCCAGCTCTTTCGAGTCGATCCCGTCCAGAAAATTCAACTCCCACAGCTTTGCAGTTCCACGGGATTCTTTAGTTTACTTCAAAGAGGAACCGGGCAGAAAGAATCGATTTTTGGTAATTCGCCAAAAACACAGTTGAGAGCGACTGATGACGAATTTCCTTGTTTTCCAGGGTTCCATTCAGGTGGCAAAAGTGTTGCCATACGTTACTCATGAGCGTCTCTGGAACTGCCTGGAAATTTCTAGAAATCTGATTCCAGAATTCCAGAAGCCTCTGTTGTAGTAACCTGCTGAACAAGTTTAGAGGGGGCTTGAAGCGCATTTATTTACTAATAATTACTCTAAGTGAGGAAATGGGATGTGATCGAATTAGTTTGAATTAATTTCATATATTTGAACTCGGGATATTTTAGACCGCCAGTGGCTAAGAGGTTGGTTTAGTTACTTGCTTGTAGAATTACAATAAACGATTGTTTGTTTAGTACTTTTTACATGACTAGTGGTTTTATTGCCGTTTTTCCTTAATATCATCTTTTAGGGTTCAAGGTTTTTTCTAATATACATAAAGTTGTTTTTTATGGCATAGTAAACAAATTTTTCTAAATCCCAATTGGACCCCAACTAAGACTTTTTGAACGACTGTTTTGAAAATTAAATGCAATTATTGAATAAAAACACTATATTTAAACGGATGTATGTGATCTACACGTTCAAGTACAAAATATTTATGATTATTCGGCTACAATACTGGTATGGAAAAATTAATCACAGCTATATTGACGGTTTCTTTGTGGTTGGATGGAACTATTCAAGTTTCTTTAAGTAATTTTCCTTGGCCATATTTTCCAACTTTTCCGACGTGCTCATTCCAGTATCGTTCACCAAACGTCTCAGTACACCATCTTCATTTTGGAGAAGAGTATGAGGATGATCGAATTCTTCGATTCTTCCACTGCTCATAACCAGCACCTTATCTGCATTCATCACCGTGTGCAGCCTAAAAAATTCAATTTATACAGGGTGTCCCGTAAGCACATGATCAAAGGGATACTGCGATATTCTTTGGATCAAAATAAGACGAGCTGACCTAACTTTTATTAACAAAAAATGTCTGGGTCCTCTGCTATTGATGGTCAAAGTTCTTCAAAAATGTATGTATTTTGAAATATCGCGAGAATCGTACGATGTATTTTAGAGAAACTCGCTATGAATTTGTTCTTATGTAAGATGTTTGATGAAACAATCAATTTCAGTCGTTTTGGACAAATGGTGAATTCTTGAGTGTCGTGATACAAAAACTGCGAGAAATTTTTATTTGGTGGATGGAATCAACTCATTTTTTTTGTTGATGCACTCATCATTTATTCACAATTTTGTGCTCTTTGTAAAATTTTGTAGCATTCATAGTTTTTGCCGAGTTGATTGAAGAGTTGATTTCCTCCACCAAATAAAAAGTTCTGGTAGTTTTTCGGCCACGACACTCAAGAATTCACCACTTGTCCAAGACGGCTGAACTCGATTGTTTCATCAAAATATGAGTCTTACATAGGAATAAATTCACAGCAAGTTTCACCAAAATACATCGTACCATTCTCCCGATATTAAAAAAAAGATATTTTTTTTAATAAATTTGACCATCAATAGCAGAGGAGCCAGACATTTCTTGTTAATAAAAGTTAGGTCAGATGTTCTTCTTTTGATGCAAAGAATATCGCAGTATCCTTTTGATCATGTGTTTACGGGACACCCTGTATTTAGGACATAAAAAGTTGCTTGTGTAATGGAAATTGAGTCTATTGTGCCGTTTTTGAGCCATAATCAACATTTTTCAATAAATTGAAGTCAAGACTACAAGATCACTAGTCATTCTTTCCTTTATAATAAAAAAAATAGTCACTAGTCTCAAGGAAGTTATGAGGGGTTTATTCTCAAATTTTATCTTAGAAAAAATTGTTAAAATTGTCGACACGCTAATATGACTTGGCAGCTTTAGAATAAGCAATTCGGGACATTCCATATTAAGTTTTCGCGTGAGACTTTGAAGACGCAAGCCGCTCGAGTTTGCAAAACGTTAGGAAGATATTTTTGCATAACGGCTGAATCAAAAGATTAACTTTTTTTGCTTTCAATCTACAGGAGCTCAGGAATTACATAATTGGCACTTACCTATGAGCAATTGTAAAAACTGTGCAATCAGCAAACTGAATTCTAATGGTATTTTGGATGAGAGAATCAGTATGAGGATCCACATTAGCGGTGGCTTCATCCAGCACCAGAATTTTGTTGTTTCGTATTAGAGCCCTGGCCAGGCAGATTAATTGCCTTTGGCCGACACTGAAGTTGGAGCCTCCTTCCGAAACGTTGCTGTTTAAGCCGGCAGGCATTTCAGCAATCTCGCTCTTTAGCTCCACTTGTTCTAAAGCTTCCCACAGGACTTCGTCGCTGTATTTTTCGAAGGGATCCAGATTTTTGCGCATGGTACCTGAAAATGTCCATTGAATTGATCGATGATGTAGTGATTAGTGCTGCTTTTCTATTAGTTATAGTTTACCTGAAAATAGCACAGGTTCTTGGGGAATAATGGAAATTTTCGATCTAACCACATCCAAAGGAAGCTGGGTACTATCCAACCCGTCTATGATGATACTGCCTTCAATATCATACAACTGAAATAGCGCGGATATTGTTGAAGACTTCCCTGCTCCTGTGCGGCCAACTATTCCAATTTTTTCCTTGGGTTCCACGGAGAAATTCAGGTTTTTCAGCACATACGGTTCGGATTCACTGTACCGCAACTGGACATTTTCGAACTTTACTTGCCCTTTCTTTGGCCATTCGACTGGAACGGGGTTTGTGAGTTCTCGTTCGGGTTCGCTCTCCACTTTCGTATACTCCAGAACCCGTTCGACTGAAGTCATTTGGTTTTCCAGCTCGCTCCATTGCCGCATTCCCCATTGCAAGGAACCCATCAGGCCTATGTATTGAGTGATGACTAAGCCGATGTCTCCACCATGGATTACTAAACATTTTTTAAATGTTAGATATTCAAAGAAAAAACAAGAGCTAAATCTACAGAGGAAAAACAAAATTTGGCTCTTGACTCACTTTTATTTACAGCGATGAGGCTGAATGTCGCTGCTGCGATAAAGAAAATGCAAATTAGGTCGAGCCAAAGGGCAAAACATCGGCTAGATGCAATGAATAGGAACCAAGCAGCGCTATGGCGATTTTGCAATTCGTCGAACTCATTGATCAGCAGCTTTTGGGCTGCAAAAGCTCGAATTGTGCTCAATCCTTGCACCGATGCGGTCATGTGGGAAAACAATGGACTTTTTGCTAAAAAGCGAAATAATTTGCAATTGAATAACTCAAAGTCGCATTAAAGCAACAATTTAAATTTACATCAAACCCCACAAGTGAATAAAATGAAACTATTTAATTATTTATGAAGAAATGTGGTTTATGAAATTTCTCCAATAATTCAACACTCTATCCAATTATCTTGCGCACTTAAAACATCATATTGGCAAAAACAGTAGGACATTCAAATTAAAATTTATTAATGGGTTTTTCGGGTTTTTAGGCCGTCGTTCGGTAGAATTTCTTCCTGACGTTTCGCAAGCACGAGTGGCTTGCATCTTCAGAAGTAGTTTGCTCGAACGCTTGCCGTAAGCGTTCACGCATACTGATATTCAGAGCTGATAGTTTGAAAGTTCCAACTGAACTATTAACAAGCTGCAGATCAAAATTTCCGCTTTTTTCGAAAAACTTGAAAAGTTAGTAAGCGGTAAGTCTGAACTGGATTGAACCAACATTTTTCCAAAGTTACTCACTGATTGCTTCAACACGTTTAACGCTTCGACTTGTTTCCAGGTATACACAGCGAAAAGAATAGAACAAAACCAACAGTCCTAAAGCAGCAATGAGCAGGAATGGTTCCACTATTGAAGTTAAGACGATGGTGCCGCTTAGTAGTAAGGCAATCTGCAAAAATACACGTTTTCTTCAAATTAGCATTCAATCCAAGTCCGCATGGATAAACCTGCAGAAATAATATTAACACTTTGTTTTTTCTTTTCTATTTTTTTTTTAAATATCCAAGAAAACTCCAGGCAGGAAAAAACTTTGTTTTTGAATAATATTTTTTAATTAATTACCTCGATCACGTCTAGTAAAACTGACGGTATGTATTCATCAATATGTCCAATATCTTTGGAGAATCGATTCAAAATCCGCCCGGATGGATTGCTGTTGTAGAAGCGCATTTTGGCCTGAACTATTTTCGAGAAAATAAAGTCGTGCAATTTTTTTGAAGCGACTGTGAAGAAGAACATGAAGAATATGGCTTTGACCACCGATATCACGATGGTTAAACCGGTGAGGCCTGAATAAATATATAAAATCTGTGTTCTGTCTATTGTAGTTTCGTTGCTTAGTGTGAGATTTGCAGCAACTTTGTCCGCTAGATCTTGTTCAAGGTTTACCCTGAAAATTATCCAGGATTTAGTGAGTGCGTTGTGATGTATGTGATTTTTTTACCAGTAGGTGACAAAATATTCTGCTCCAGTTGCAGCGCCTTGGCAAATTAGAACTAGGAATAATAACAGGAGTATTTTGCAAATATTTCCGCCTGATTTGAAATATTGTAAGTAAACCGATGCGGATATGGTGCCACTGTCCTGAGTTTCTTTTTCCAGTAACGGTTCCTCGATATCATCATCCTCACAGCTTAAATTGTTTTTCACCTCGGAATTTTGCCTCGATGTTGTTTTGCGCTTTTCGCCTTCTTCTTCTGTGTTTTGCGCATCAAATAATTTACTAAAATATAGATATATAAGATATTTGAACGCTCAAAATACATTAATTCGTCACTTAAAAATGAAAAGAAAACTTCAATTTTTATTTAATCAGGAGATTTTCAGTTTAAATAATCCAAAGCATCAAAATACACATTAGTTTTGAGGCTTTATATTCCAAAATCCAAATAAGGGGTGCTTGTGCGAAAAAGTATATTTTAATTTGCAAAGTTGAACAATTGCTAAATAAAGCAAAATTTCAACAATAACGCATTAGATACAAAGAAAAATTGTGGAATTGAAAATCCAAAAAATTATTTAAACACTGAACGCAGAAGGCAGAAAAACATTATTTATGAAATATCTTTTAAAATGTAAATTTAAGTTCCTATAAAAACATTTGAAATCGAGACCAATTTTAAACAAACACAAAAAAACAATTTTAAATTCGATTTAAATATTTTAAGCAAATTGTACTATTCAAAACATATGAAAGCAATTGAGTACAATAATTAGGTAATTAATAATCCTATTCTTAGCTTTTCTGGGTAGCAAAATTTTCCTTTTATCTCTAATACTTTTTTGTAAATCTAAATAAATTTTGCTACAGATTTCAGAGTAAAAAATACAGAAACTTCAGTGATCTGAAGTTGTGTGAATTTTAAGAAGTAAGAATCTGAATCTCACTTATTCGAATCTTTTAAAAATAAAACATAAAGTTACGAAAAATATTTGGGTAACATTCCCAAAAATCCCTGATTATTTATGAAGTATATTTGTTGCTGAGTGTTAATTACGCATTCTCTCTTACGTCATTCTCCTCAGGAAAAATATAGCAGTTCAACCAGTTTAGTGTGGAAAACGTATTTTTACAAGTTTTATGAATTGCTACTTACAAAAACTTAGTGTTACAAAAGGCTTTCATTACTTTGCTGCTGAGTGAATTTCATATAGTTTGCTGAAGAAGAATAAAGTACTGAAGTTTTATGTTTGAGAGAATAAATTCTCAAAAGCAGTTAATTTATTAAAAAGCTTGTTTAATCTAGAAAGTAGTCGGTATCACAAAAAGGAAATTATTTGAAAAAAATTAAAAAATTTCCGTTCAATTATCGGACGGTGTTGTAAAAGCCGCAACTAACAAAAACTGTTGAAGTCACCAAATAGTCGCCAGTCGAGCTTGATAAGACAGTAAGGGTGGCAATATGAATTTAAAATAAAATTTGGCAAAAATGTTGAACACCCCATCAGTAAATAATCAGAATGAAAGAACTATTAACTCTTTAAAAAGTAATAAAAAAATATCAACCTGAAATTCACTCCACTGCTCTGCAACTCCTTATAATTTCCCTCAACTTGAATTTGACCATCATTCATAATCACTATAATGTCGGCACTTTGCAAATACTGCAACTGATGCGTTACCAATATTCGCATTTTATCCTTAAGAAAATCCTGGATACAACTTTCATACAAATGCTTCCCAACATTGGCATCGACTGCCGATAGAGGATCATCCAACAAATAAATATCGGCTTTCTTATAAATGCATCGAGCCAGATTTATTCGGGCTTTCTGGCCACCGCTTAACAGCTTTCCCTTTTCACCTACAAGCGTTTTATCGCCATAGGGAAACAGGGCAAAGTCGGACTTTAGGGCGCAAACTTCCACCACTTTGTTGTACCGCGTTTCGTCATATTCTTCGCCAAAGAGGATGTTGTGCATTACGCTTCCTGAAAACAGTAGAAAGATATTTTTATTCATTGAACTAGTTTTTTAAAAACTTTACCGGAAAACAGCCAAGGTTCTTGCGACGCATATGATAGGGTGCCTTGAATTTCCATGGTTCCTGAGTGAATGGGCAGTTCCTTAAGAATGACGTTGATAAGGCTGCTTTTCCCTGCCCCAACTGGACCCGTAACTGCTAGTAATTTATTGGAAGATACATTTAGGTAGATATTTTCCAAGGTGTTTTCCACATTTCCTTCCTCCCATTTTGCGCAAACGTTTCGCAGAACCAGCTTCGGTTTAGTGAAATATTCCTTTCTGGGTTTGCTGTTTATGGATTCGTGTTTATCTAGCCCATTTTCAGTACCTTTCGGTTCTTTCTCACCGCTCACCTCCTCGTAGCTCAGAAACTTCTGAACTCTGCAAATGGATACATTCACTTCGGCTATGCTCGATATGCTTATAGAGAAGAGGATTGTTATAACTGGCCGAAGTACATTGTAAATGGCAGTGATGGAGAACACTTTTTCAGCGGTAACATAGTTGCCTAAGAGCACATATCCTAAAATGCTTAGGAAAATTGCGGTTCTCGCTACGAAAACTTCGAAGGAATAAATTAGGCCCATGATGATGGCGTGGCCTCTAATCGCTTCCATTTCCTTCCTAAAATTCCATTCAAGAACATTAATTAGACGTTTTTATGAGATTTTTATATGAAGCTTACTTCCTCACTAGGCTGACAAGCTTTGAAAAAGGCTTTTCCCAACAGTACATTTTGATTACTTGTATTCCTGATATCACTTCATTCATCAGTCTCACTCTTTCGTCAGTTCGCAATGCGGTGCGTAATCGTAAGACTGATGTTCTTTTGGCCAGAAAAGCTAGAAGAAATGCGTGATTAATCAACTGAAAATAGTTGAGATTTTTGAAAAAGCTAGTTTTTTTAAATTCAGTTATTCAGCTGAAATCAATTATAAGACCCGATGCATTGCAGTATCGGGTAAGTTAAGGGGTTATCAAAGTCTCCAGACATCAATGTTATTTGAGCGAAATATCACGCGCTTAATCGGAATTTTTGGCTATTTTTACATTTATGGATTCCTCATTATCGCAATTAAAATGTTGATGTTTGTCGACTTTTGTACCTTCTGCAAGGGGCAACAACACAATCAATTGCAGAGTGAATTGTTCAGAAGAACAAGAACGTCGAAAGTTACCTTGTAAAGGAACGAAAGATATTAAAAATGCAACTCCAAATAAAGCAGCATATCCGATTTCTCTATAGAGCAACCAAGTTCCGATTGTGACTTGTACTGGACCAATCCAGGCGAAGTGGGCTAAAATGAAACCTTGATCGAGCCTGCTCAGGTCGTTGGATAGCAAATTTACCATTTGCCCAACCGTCGCTTTGTTTAGAGCGTTGCGGCTCAATTTCATCGTTTTTCTGCAATCAATTTCTGTCTAGTCGAACCCACATGCTCAAACCAATGCTCAAAGTACCTGTAGATGAGAGATCCACAAGCGACTCGCATTTTCATTGCCAGATGTTGATGGCTCATAAGTCGAGGATGGGCCAAAACAGCATCAATCGTTATTCCCAACACTAAAGCTCCGCAATAGTAATAAGCTTCATTTTCCGAAATGGTTTTTTGGTTCGTTTCGAAATATCGTACAAGTTTGCCTATTGAAAATGGTACGACCGTTCTGCAATAAAATCACTGTAGTTAAGACTGGGATAAATTTTGAATGTAATTTGGTAGTATAGGCATTGAACTTACAAAAGCAAAATTTCACTAAATAATTGTGAAAGCCCTATAATGAAAAAACGTCCACCGAACATTTTAAGTAGAGCTCGATGTAGTGCAGCCTTGTTATGTTTGCCCTGCTCTTTTATCCAGATATCTTCCAGTTCGGCTCCCAAAAAGCAGGAGTTGTGCGATGGTAATGGCGAAAATAAATCGTCTTCAGTAAGCTTTTTTTTGTAAGCTCTTTTGTAAATCGGGAACATGTATCTGAAATCGAAGAATATTATCATTAACGATGCGTTTTATGAGCCTTCTCAATGCAGAAGTTGATTTAATAACGGGATTTTGAGTAAAAGCAAAAGCGTGTTTTTTCCGACATTCCGTTTTATTTAATTTGTTTGGGAGCTTTAGAACTCATCTGGTAAATAATTGAAGTCACTTAAATATCTATTTAAGCCGGTTCTCTATTTATGTCTATCCAAGATTAATCCTCTTCCATTAAAACACAAGTTTTTTAGTTTGGCTTTGAATTGCAAAATGCGCGATAGAGGGTCCTATCTAACAAAATTTGCATTAATCTACCCAAGTTTTAACTGATTTTTTCATAAATCAAACCACTAATTAGCACCAACATACAGCAAACAGTTGCGGTTGCAAACGTTGCAGGTTCATCAAAAAAGCTCATTTTAAAAAGTACAATTTTGAGACTTTTTTTTTAGTCCTTTTTCTTGTTTTACTTTAAAGAACACTCTAAATTAAGCAGTTTCAGCGAATACAATTCCTCGATGGAGAATAAGTTTAGCCAAAAAACTCACAAACTTGGACGAAAATCACTATTTTCGGGCTAAATTTCCAGTTGTTGCTTTGTTAAGTTGCCAAACTGAGCAAAAAGTTTTAAGTTTGCTGAATGAAAATTGTTTCCTTTGATACCTAACAAGTAGATTCATTCAATTTGAGTCGGCTTAGATTATTTAGCTTTTCAGGTTATTAATTTTTACTTTTTGTAATTTTTTTGGGTTTATTAAAAAACAACTTTAACAATACAAACTCAACGCTAACCGAAAGAAAAACAACGCAAAAATACGTGGCAATGCAGCATTTGGATAAATTCCAGAAAGAGACAAATAATCCGCCATCTGACTATCGACCCGCTAGATAACCTCAATCAATGGGCGTTAGAAAAGATGCTCTAACTTTTGCGAAAAACACAATTATTATGTGGAGTTATGAATTATTGATACCTAAATCACGATTTAGCACCAAATTACACCGGACAATCTCATTTTTGTGCATAAATAGAGAGTTTTTTCCCCCTTAAAATTACGTTGGCCTTAAACGCTAAACGTTATTGTGATCATGCGCAGTGTTAAAAAAATAAGGTGTTCAGGCAAATAACATTAAGTGGGTTTTTTAGTTTTTGATAACGCGTTTATTGCACTCTTAATAAAATAAACCTCACTTTATTGTTTTCTTATCCCGTTTTGTTTGGAAAGTTTCAAAGCTGGTTTAAGTTTGTATTGTTATTAAACAAAAAGTGGCTAAGATGGAAGGAAACATTGAAGCTGCCTTTCTGCACCGAAATGACCAGGGAGATGTGGATCACGATTTAATAAGAGGCTTAATTTTACACGACATCTTTGTCCCACCTGTTGTTGCAAACCGAAGAGCTATTTTTAATTTCGAAAATATTGAACCCAGAGATTGATTGCCTTATCAATTTTAGATTTCA